TCAGAGTGTGATATTCTTGCACCCACTTCATCTTCATGCTCACCTTGTCTTGTCTTTTCAAGACTGTAAACCAGCTGGCAATGGAGACCAGGAGGGTGATGAGAGGGAGTCACTCCCGAAAAACGGCCGCATTCGTCAGGGTGAGTCGGTGCACACAGCAGCGGCCGACATCTGATCACTGTAGGACACTGTACATACCTACAGGAGCAGATATTAGTCTGACTACTGAAAGCTGGATGTATTGCAGTTAGAACACATTTGACACCAAATTCCATGTTTTTTGTGCGTCTCTCTGCCAGGCGTGTGCTGCCTACAGTTATATCACCATCCCGTCTCTCAGCAACATCTTCAGTCGTCTCAGCCTCTATCTGCTGTCTGGACAGGTTGCATTGGCCAACCAGTGTCTCTCCCAAGGTGAGCAGCTGTTTGGTTTCAGATTGTAAACTGGAAGTAAGGACATAGCACAGGGTCAGGATTTAGTGTTCAAAACCTGGGTCTTCCTTTTCTTCCTCTTTTCCTCTTCTACAGCGGATGCCTTCCTAAAGGCAGCGGTCAGTATTCTTGCAGAGGTTCCTCGTTCCATCAGCGTGGAGGGGAAAATTCGCTCTTCTGAGAGCTTCCTGCTGGACTTCATCAGTAACTTCCTGGCCACACTGCTGGTTGTCCCGGTAACACACCCCATCAGCCTCTCTAGTACAGACAAATGAGCAAAAATCCTCTGTTTTGTTAGCTCAGGCAACAGGTGTGAGTTTTGAGGAGACCAGACCCATAATCTCCTTGTACTTGTACAAATCTGTGTGTGTTTTCAGGATCATCCAGAGCACGGTGTGCTTTACTTAGTCCGCGGTCTCCTCAACATGGTCCAGGATTACACCTGGGAGGACAACAGCGACGCCAAGGTGCGGGTCTATGTCAGTGCTCTGCCCCTGCTGGCTGCCATGAGCCAGGAAACCTACCTTTACTGTATCCCCAAAGGTACATGCACACCCAGACTAGTCAGACTATCAAGAATACACTGATGAAAAAATGAATTATATTTTCCTTTGAGCAAATTATTTTGGAGCACACAGTCCAGGATTTTTCAGAATTTCAGACAACTGTCTAATTGTCCTTTTGCATTACACTCAGATTAATTCCTGTATACGTTTAGATAATCATGGTTTAAGTGCTACATACTGCTACTGCTCAGCTTTGTAGCTGGATACTGTACTTTTTATCATTTTCTAAATTGTAGTGGTTTATAGAGGGACTTTATTATATGTGATCACTGTGTCAAAAGCATTTTTCTACCTAAACATACCTTTCCCCCTGTCTTCCCTGGCCTCAGTGGATTCCAACGAGACACTTTACGGAGGAGATCCCAAGTTTTTATCAGAGCTCAACAAGCTGTGTGAGACTCTGATCGGACAGATCCTGGACCACCTGAAGGCACTCGGCCGGGATGAGGTGAGGACAGACAGGAAAGCAGCACTATTTTTGTTCCTCCCATGATGCATCTTCAACAGAAACTGATTTCTGCCCCCTCTGCAGGACATTGCCTGCAGTTGTATGTTAGCAAGATTTGGCATCTCCCCCATTAGATGATGGTCCCTTCACCCAGTGCTATCACTGTATGGTGCATTAATGTACAGATGGGAAAGGCCAACATCCACTGTTACTCAGTTTGCTAGTGCCATTTTTCTTGCCACCTTTGCAGCACAGCGCACGGCGTCAAAGCGCTCTAGCCTTCTCCCTGTTCGGTGTACTGTTGGCTCACGGTGACCTGAGGAACAACAAACTGAGCCAGCTAGCCGTCAACCTGTGGAACCTCAGCCACAAACAGGGGCACTGTGAGACTCGTATCTCAGTGAGTTCACACCTTAGGCATACTTAATGCATTTCACAAACACGTTTTAAATCTTTGTGCTTGTTCAGATTGCATTCATCTTCCTGTTATTTGTTGTTCTCAGAATAAAATGCTCTGTGTGAACACAGCCTTACCTTCTCTTTCTCTCTCATCCAGGTTCGGACTCTGGAGTACATCAAACATCAGGCTCAGCAGCCCGACATGACACACCTGTCAGACACTGTCCAGAGGCTTGCGCTGCAGTCCCGCACCTGAACACCAGCCTCAATGAGCTTTGTAAAAACAGTTGTGCGCCACAGATCAGTTTTGTCTAAGATGCACAAAGATAAAGAAAAACTGTATGGGGGAAAAATATACTTGGAGACTGAAGTTGCAAAAAGTTGATCTTGTGCCAAAATTCCTTGGTTTTGCAATTCTTAAAGCTAAAATGGCAATTATTTAAACAGTCATAGGATGGTAAAGCCTTAAATAAAATTCTTTAGTCTTGTTCAGTGGCAAAACGCTTGGGTACATTAAATAATCTAGGCTACAAAACCCTTAAACGAACCTACAAATGACTGAAAGTTTTCAAAGAAAAATCACATTCCTCTGAAGATTTCCTAGTTTTGAAGCACAGCCAAGGGTGAGGGATGCCAGGTTCTGGTATATAAAACAGAAAACTGATATAGCTACAGTACAGTGTCATGTCTACAAGTTTTTGGGCTCCTCATTCCTACAGTGTTACCCTGCACCTTAAAAAAGTAATCATTGGAACATAAAACATGCATACAATTTACATATTATTGGTTTAATGTGTTGTAACAGGTCATCTTCATGCATTCATTCTGCTTTGTATTTAAATTCTGAGCCTGTGTGTAATATATTTTTAACAGCTTGTCTCATAGCAGTATTAATATCTACAGTATCTCAAAATGTAATTTTGGTTATCTACTATTTCCCCATGTGCCTGCTTGTTATTACACTACATAACGCATTAAAAAATGGACAGGAAAACATTTGTTTCAAGACATTCCCAAACTCTGTTGTAATTATTTACTTAGTGAATCATTAAAAAGGCAAACACTCCCCTTTAGTTCCCCCAAAAACCCTGAATGCTCAAGAACAAAATCAAACAGCTGTGACAACATTCACTGACAAACACACAGCAGGCTTTTGGTTGCACACCTTTACACTGCCAGATAATTAATCCTGACAAAGCTGACTTTCAGGTTAGTGAAAAAAATAAATAAATAGCTGACTGGGGCTTGTACGAAACACAGGAGGCTTTTCCGTACACATGTGGCGACATCACTGTTAGTGATCCAACCTGTGCGTGTCACTGAGCTAACTTTTCAACATCTATGGCAAAGTGATTGTTAGCAGTCAGGATAAATGGTTACTAGTTAATGCTGAGAGGCTGCACATTAACACTGTTGAACAGACTATTCCGTACACTGCTGCACTACCTGCGCACTAAGCAGTACTTGTCGGCATGGGCAGTTAGTTAAACAGCTAGCAGGCCTACAGCAGTGAACTAAATGACTGATGTCTGCAGGGGAATACAGCCAAAACACAGGATCTGGACATAAAAACTATTTCAGTTCATTTACATACACAAAATAAAAACTTGTGCTGAAACCACTTTTGAGAAATTGCATTTTAAAATTCTAAGCACAGATCTACAATGTCATTAGTGCCCAAATCGACTCCTGGTGGTCTCATTCATTTGTACATCATTTTGCAAAACAAATGCCCGTCCATTATTTCTTATCACAGTTTAATGTGCAAATGAAATGAGTCACCACTTTGGAGTCATTTGGATGGTAGTGATGTGCTGAGGCCTATTAATGCAATGTCTAAAAGATTTCAACTTTGCCTGCACAAAAGTACAGAAGTAATCCAGTTTATTCATATCCTAATCATATGGTGTGCCAATACATACTTAAGACTAAACTGGTGCAACTTTGTCCTCTTGAACATCAAATTGTATTAGAATTTTCAGATGGCAGAGGCAGTGGAGGAGCTGAGGTCAGTACGGCAAGTAAGTGATGCAAACTAGTCATTTTAAGTTAATGAGGACATGTTTCTTTTGGATGCTGATGTGTAAATGCATGAATAACCCTATCTATAATGATCTACGGCAAGTAAGTGATGCAAACTAGTCGTTTTAAGTTAATGAGGACATTTTTTTGTTTTGGATGCTGATGTGTAAATGAATAACCCTATCTATAATGATTCTAAGGTTTTAAGCTATTCCTCCACTGATGCGTGTCAATAGGGGTCTGGCTTCACGTGCACAACACTGCTGAAAAGCATCCAAGCAGAAACACTGGTACTGCTGTGGAAGATCCTTAAAAGTCAGTTCTGCCTGAATTTCCCTTTAGATGACAGACCTCAGTGGTGTGACAGAGATGCCTGGGAGAAATGTTGGTCACCGGAGAGAATCCTGATTCCAAACTTAAACATGTAAGGACAATTCTGCTAAAGTTGAGTCATTCAGAAATAGTTTGCAGGTTTTTGTTGCACTGGAATTTTGGTGTTTTTATTTGCCGTTAATTCTTCGGGTGCCACACCACTGGTCTCATTGTTGCATCCACACCAACAGACAGATGCAATCACAGCAAAGCATGTACACCAACACTATTTTATCGGTTCTTGTGTAGCACTAAGACATTGAGCCAGTCAGTCCCGTATAGAACTCCAAAATGGCCAGTATTAACAAAATAAGCAATATGCTGCCATCCTCATGAAATGGTATTTCAGCACTATCAATTTTACTTGGATTTCTTTTTGCTCACTTTTTCATACATATAGAGAAATAACACTTTCTAAAAGTGTGTTGAGTCTAAAATAGCATACTGAATTATCTTATAATTTATCAATTCATATACTTCACTATTCTTAGGACTTTATTTCTTAGTCTATGTAATAGTGGCCATTCTGGACTTCCATATCCCACACAGATAACATTGTAAGTAAATAAACATTACTCTAAATTGGAAGACCTCTGGACAATTCTAGTTTCTAGTATTTAAAACAAATTTGGACTTCACAGGGGGGACTTGACCCCCTCACGATTACCTGGAGCACAGTTAGGGCCTTAAAATAAAACAAAAAAACAACTTAAAAACAGCAAGCTGACAAGACCAGGACTAAGGGAAAAAGCTAATTACTGAATGATGTGAGCAAAGAAAAGCTGTCAATAGAAACAAACTGTGTGTGTGAAAAACAGTGATAAGCAGCAGCTATGAATCACACTTTTTATTGTGCACAGGCTGAACTGATGAGAAACTACAGATCCACCTCTGACGGGAACTGTTGAACAGTAATAAAAAGGAGAACAGAAAAGGGGACAATAGACTAAGCAAGTAACATTTTGTAACATGCAAAGCAGGACTTGTTCCAACAGACGGCTTTTCACAGTGTCTCATTTTGATCCTCTCATTCAGCAAGTGCACGGCAAAAAGTGGGACCTCTACACTTGAGCTATGTGGATATAGACAGCTGAATGTTTGCAATAACGCGTTTGAATAGAAAACTGTCAGCCACCACTTTGATCCATAGAGGAGACACCGAGCAGGAAAGGTGTGTTTGGTTGATGTTCAAGGTGCAAGATGACTTCAGATAACTTCTGCAGAGTTCTGATGTCTTTTGTCCATAAAGCTAATGGACAAACTAGAGATAAAAAAATGGAAAGATGACCTTAGCTACAAGTACAATTTAACTTAGAAGTCATTTTCAAACAAGCTGTTGAAAAATGCAAACAGCAGCAACACAAGTGTTGTGATTGTGTAGCTGTGTGACAACACAGCTGGATAACTGTAGTGAGTTGGCTAAACCCTATTATAATGATGTCATCAACATCATTACAAAAAGGCTGTCATGTGCTCCTCTCCCCTGGGAGACATTCCCGTCTCCTGGGAGCAGACAGTTTAGTTACCTGTCACTTAAACATCATAAACAATGATGAAAATAAAATAATAGAATTCAATCTGTGAAGAGTTTTGCAGTTTGGCGCAGTCAGTCCAGACAATGCTGACAGGGACGTTTTGGCTCTGATTTTAGACTCGATGGGTGAAATGGGGTTTCTTGAAAACAGTGCACCTCTGAAAACACAGAGCACAACTTCGGCCCATCCCTGTTGTCGATGGGATGAAGGGCGGTCGGGTGGCTTTCTTTTTTGGGTTCGTTTGCTCTCCTTATCCTGGGTTGCAGCTTCAGTCCAACTCTATGGGGCTGCTGTCCTCCTGGGCTTCTTCAGCCCCGTCATCCTCCTCGCCTGACCCCATCAGGCTGTTCAGCATCACCATCACTCTCACATAAAAATGAATTTAAATCAAGTGCATACAATGATGCAGTGGTTTACACGACAGCTTTTCAAAAACTGTGTGTGTGTGTGTGTGTACATACACAGATAAACTGCACATATGTTTATTAAATTTCTTGCAAAGTTAGATGAGAAGATCAATACCACTCATATCTGTAAGGAAAACGTGTGGCTGGAGCCAGCAGCTCTGGCGGCATGTCTGCACAGAAGGCCTTTCTCACACATCTGACAGAACAGATATGCTCGTACTTTAATCAAACCAGTCTACATTGGCCATGTAATGGCATTTTACATGCATAACCACAGTGATTGTTTACTGGGCTCTAAGTGCTTCCAAAATGCAGATGACCTTTGACTCAGTACTGTGCCCAAACACCTTCTGTGTAGAAGCACATGGAGCTCTGGAGCTGCTGCTGCCAACACTATGCCTTCTGTTCAGACGTGGCCTAAAGATCATCACCACACACACACACACACACACACACACACACACACACACACACTACTAACTCCCCTCTCCACTGGCTGCCTTCCTGACAACCGCTTGTGTTGAAAAATCTGCATTCAACTAAATTCTTATTTAATATCATAACACAATTAAAATGATGGATCACATTCACACCATCTACGCTCTGTCACGATTTACCCATTTGACACATTACATGAATCTGTTGTTTCACTCTATGTAGATGAATTGTGTGTGTGTGTGTGTGTGTGTGCACATCCAAAACAATGAGCTGCCTCATTCCTGTAGAAGCAACCAAATGTTTCAAGCTGCTAAGGCAGGAGCAGTTTGTTTCTCAAAGGATGGTGAAGCTAAACAGAGAGGCACTACCTGTGTGTCAAATATTATACAGTGTGCAAAGTTATCACTTTCATCATGCCTCCTTTCCTTTGAGGAAGTACTTAGAATGGCGTGAACTATGAATCAAGCCGATTACATGAAGAAAAATAAGGATAGACAGTAGCTACATCTGAAGATTGCTTTGAGAAGAAGGAAGAGTGCGAGCTTTCACAGAAAGGAGTGCCAAGTATATAAAAGGAGAAGAGACAGAGGGTGGAAGGAGATTGTTGTCTCTGTATCATGTGCTGCTAAATCTGTTCTAGAGAAACGCCACAACACGGCAGCACATGTTAAAAAAAAAAAGAAAATCCTAATACAAAATGTACAGAGCTCAGTGGAAGAAATACAGGTTATCAGTGACTTATATCTGCTCAGTGAGCAAAGACTTGGTCCACTCACCTAGCAGTCCACCATATGATGGCGATTGTTTGGGTGGAACACCAAAGAAAAGCTGTCCTATTCTGTCGAGATACTGAGGAGCCAGAAGACGTCCACGGGAAGAGGAAGACAAAACAAGAAGTGAATAAGACCAGTTTCAAAATTACAGGCGATCTCATGGGCTGAACTATTCCACCATATCATAAAGAAAATATCTTAAATAGGGCGTGCATTTTAGAAAATAGAACATTTTAAATAGGTCATGTTTGAAATACTATTAAATTCCAAAATAGTTTCATAGTCTTAAGTATGCAAACATAAGTGTAATAGTAATTAGTAATAGTAATTCAGTAATAGTACTACAGCTGGAGTACTATTACTGAAGGTCATGCAAGACATGATTAACACATGATTACATGGTGAAATGGTGAAGAAATGTCTGTGCACAGAGCAGTTTCATAAGACTCACCTCAATATACATGGGGTCCCTCTTCAGGGAAGGTTGATATTGCTCACATAACACTGTGAAAACTGTTAATTTACCCCTGAACAAACAAACAGAAGAAAAATTTAATACTGCACATTATCATCTTCGATCTATTCAAGCACGAACAATTTGTTGATTTTACATACAACATTTCTCCTCACCCGTCCACTGCCAGCAGCAGAAACCAGATAAAGTTTAGTAGAGGCTGGACGAAGGGAGGGCCCTTCTCTATGGACGGATGTTTCTCTGTGTATGTGCTGAACACCACAGAAGCACTGTTTTTGTTCTTTAAGCAGAGGAACCTGGAGGGGTTGTGAGTAGAGAGATGGAAAAGTACAGAAATAAAAAAAGGGACAGACAAAAACAAAGGGAGGAGATGGGAAAGAAAACATGGCAGAAAGTGGGATATGGAGGATGAAGGAAAGAAGAGGGACGATGGGAGACCAGAAAGAAAGAGACTGAAGACATTTTAAAGAAACTGCTGACCGACACAAAATGGATACGACTGCAGGCTGACATGCTGGAAAAGGATGCACCAGCAGGACCTTCCTGCACACACAGATACTAAATCTACACCTGAAATCTCAAGTTCAGAATATATTTACAGAGTATTATATTGTAGTGCTCATTTCCACAAGTTCTTTTTAATAAATATATGATTACTGATTGACAACTTCGACACTAACAATATAAAAACGAATAGTGGTGCTTTGAAAATGTGGAAATGACAGTTTACGTACTGTAGGACAGCTTGCGCCACAAACATGTCGACCTCACTGCGGAAGCCTCGTGATGCCGAATACTCCACCAGCATCTGTGCGCAGCCCTCCCCGTCAGATGAATGCAGGAAGTGGTAACGAGATTCACTGTAGTTTTGCTCTGGAAACACAAAAATGTCCATTTTGACTGATAAGGTATTAACTTTCACACAGGGTTTAGAGTAGCTAGTACATTAAGAACATCATTAAGGGCAACGCACACCAGCCAGATGCTGAGACAAAGGACATTGCAGGGTGTAGCAGAGGTGTTGTAGCAGAAAAGGTAAAATCTTAATACACCTTTAATCATGAACCAGAATCATATCTTTGTGATATTATATTTTGTGTATCATCTTCTACACTGCATAAACTAAACAATTACCTTTCCACAAGGTGACAGCTAGCAGCTGGTGTAGTTTGGGGTGGCCCAACTTGCCGGAACCTCCTGTGGACCATTTCAAGGCTCTGGACACAAACGCTACTCTCTCCGGTGAGTTCTGGTCCATCAGGCTGAACAGCTTAGCCAGGCTTTCTGCAAACATACAATCCTAACATCATCAGAGAATGTTCTAATTTGAAATGTTCTACTGTACTGTACTGTCCTCGAGAAAAGTGGGCTTTTCTCAAAGTCAGGACAAAGGCAGCATGTACACTTCAATGGAAGTGTGACCGATACAGCATGGTGCAGGTTTTAATATCAATATCTTATGCCAATTTATTATGGCCTATTACAAAGAAAAGCCCATGTTCTCCTCTCCAACTTCCAAGTCTGAATGCAGTCAATGCTCGAGTCCGAGTTATCAGTGCTCAAGTCCAAGTGGAGTCACGAGTCCTGAAAATCTGGACTCAAGTCCGAATCCTGGATTAGAGTACTACAGCACTGGTCTCCACTACTGGGATGCCGGCAGCTGTCAAAATAGAACAGGACTTTCTCAAAATAAAATGACATTATATCCTGCAACTATCCATTGTTAAACATTATAAAAAGTTAGTGTTCTATGGGCAGCTTATAGATGAACTGAAATCATTTAAAGGTTCAAGGTTGCTACTCACCTAATATTTCATCTTCAACTTTTGTGTCAGATTTCTCCAACACCTCTAACACAAGCATGGAGAGATCTGCTGCGCTGTTTTGCTGCAAAGGAAAACATACCCAAATGTATTTCCTTAACTATGTTATCACAAAATGTGTTTTGGGGTCTAAGAAAAGAGGTCTAATCAATCTACCATGAATTCATCACCTAACTGACAGACTGGTACTAGTTTATGTGTTGTTTGATCAGTAGCAACCTGTTACCATCAGACTTCTGTACTGCTGAACAACAGTTAATCCAATACAAAAGTTACACTTCCATTCCTACATGTGGTTTCACTTGTGAAAGACAACAGTTGACATTAAAATGACACAAAATGGGACAATAAACAGAGTCTAGTTTAAGGTGACATTAGAGTCCTTGGCAGAAACCTAGTGTAGCATGTACCTGGTTATAGCTGAAGAAGAGTAGAGCACCATTGTACATCAGTTCCCTCGCCTCAGCATGTTTTGCCTGTGACATGTACCTGATGGAAGACAGGAGTGTCAGTCTTGTATATGTGATGATACCATCTGCTTATCAAGACAGATACCAGCTTGTGTGCAGCAGTCAAGACCCCTGCACAAGGCTGCAAGATAAGACACATGCATACTGGATTTACTTGAGATACAGACAAGGTAAAAATGTTAATATAATTTCCTGCAGACCACAGGTCAGACAGTATTTCCTAGACTTCTCATGTTGCTATAACAAGATTTTAGGAATAAATATTACCTTAGCTTGCTCTTTTTTATGACTACAACAAATAGAAGAAGGAGAGGATAAACTCACTCTGTGGAAAAGGTTTTGCCTTAATTGGATTTGGCTCAAAACAAATCACTGTTAGTAAACTGCAGGAGGTGGACAGTCAGCCAGGCTGGCAGCACAACTAGGTTAATCTGGTTTATTACCACAAACAGTATCCAGGATCCTTTAGTGTTCCAGTGTTATAAGTTATTGGAGAAGATATTTTTTGTACATGTATGCCATCAGACACTAGAAAATAATACTACTTGTGACAGGATTCTACAAATGTGTCCAATAGTCTTGTTACCAGCTGTGAATCAAGATCATACTCGAGATAAAATAATTGTAGTAACGGTTGACAAAATACGTCTAAACATCACATACACGGCGGGGCGGCATGAGGCTAAGTGGCTAAATGCTAACACAGCAAGGCAGCATCAACGTGTTTAGAAAACTAAAGCGATGAACAAACCAGTTAGCTTAAACGAGAGGTATCTTTACCAGTAATATAATAACACATACTGTCTGGCTGCCTTGCTTTAAAAAGACCAACACGGTTATCATTAGCTGCTGGTTGTACTGCTAAACTAGCTAGATAACTAGCCGTAGTTAGCAATCGAATTTTGTGACTGTACGATTGACAGCGCAGCTGTCCAAACAAGCAAAGGGACCGGCATGTGTGGGTGGGTCCGTGGTGAAATTCCTCCAATCACAGATAGGCAGGTATAGAAGCAAGGTTGACATCAGAATGATCTGGAACAGGCAGGCCCCAGAGCAAAATGACAAATACACGAACATGAAACAAAATCTTACCTAAAAAATAAAGTCCTGTACATCTGATGTGCTTCATAGTAATCCCCCTTTTCTACACTGGCTCGTAGTTTCCCTTCAACCCTCTGGACGCCTCCTCGGTTTCTGGCACTGGGGCACCTCAGGGACTCCGGCTCCGACATTATCGTTGCTCAGTCCAAGTATTGACAGTGAAGGCTTTAAACATAACAGACCCTCTTCGCTTGCCGTAGACAGTGGGTTGTAGTAGACATGGACAGAGCTGATGAATCTTGTGACCTGATAGCCTGTAGCATGAATAAAGTAATGTTAAGCTTAGGAGAATTAAAACGAGTTGGTGGTTAGTGAAAGATACCTTCACCTAATAGTCACGTAGTTTCATGAGGTGTGTATGAGCAATGTCGTCGTCGTCGTCCCCTCCCCCAGCGCAATTCTTATTATTCACATCCTGTTGCAGGAGCACTACGTAGTGTGTCAATTAATCTAAAATTGTCCTAAAAAATGACAAAGCCACTTTATTAAAATCAACATGCACCTGCCCTGTATGAGACAGTGTGTCAACAGAAAACAAAGAGTAATTTATCACTGCTCAGTTTATTGCAACTTTATTTTTATTTTTCTTTATTTTTATTATCCTTATTTTGTGTTTTGTTTGAATGAATGAATGAGATGGACTCACACCGTCCAAAACCCTACAGCTGTTGCAGGTTGTTCTTCACCAGTCTCTTCTTCACTTCTGAAGCTGTGCAGAAATCTCAGTCCTTTCTGTTTCCTTTTATTTAGCAAACTTATCACTCATTTTTAGTGCTATTTCATCTGAAGTGAGCAAATGTCCTGATTTAAGCCGGTGGACAAATGTCAGAGCTATGTAGCTAATTGTAGCTGAATATAGAGTCCTACGTCCATAATGTTGTTCTTTATAAGTTCAGTTCTTGAAGTATATTAGGGAAGCATGTTACCAGCCTGTAAAAAATGACAAATTTTTGTGTATTTTTTCCTTATGTGTTAATTGGTTTGGTTTGATGAGAGAAAATGGCTTTTAACATCAACAAATTCAGCACAAATAAACTAAAAATTCAGCTTTGTTTTGCAGGAAGTATCCAAGGACAGTATTAGGAAATTGTATGCCATTGACATGAAATATTTTATATTTTACAAAAAAGCTATGGAAAAAATTATAATTGTAGGCTATATCCATACAAATCTAGCCACAGGGGTTGCAAGCCAGTGACTTCTGTGCCGGTCCCAAGCCCGGATAAATAGAAAGGGTTGCATCAGGAAGGGCATCCGGCGTAAAAACATGCGAATCATCAGTGTGAATTCCATACTGGATCGGTCGAGGCCCGGGTTAACAACGACCGCCACCAGTGCTGTTGACCTACAGGGTGTTGGCAGAAATTGGACTACTGTTGGTCGAAGAAGGAGAGGAGGTAGAAGGAGTTGCAGACAGAGAGAGAAGAGGAAAGGCAGGAGTATAGGTCTGAGAATAGGGACTCTTAACGTTGGCACAATGACAAGGAAAGGTAGAGAGCTGGCGGACATGATGGAGAGAAGGAAGGTAAATATACCGTGTGTT